CCACAGTCTCTTGGTTACTGGGGAACTGCTCTGAAAGAGGTTCAGGAGACCTGGAAAGAAAATGCATGTGGGGTCCGTATCTAGGTGTTTGTTTGTGGATGTGAAACTCTGCAAAAGTCACTGTTTCTAAAGCTGCCTGTGTGTTTTCTTCTGCAGAGTAAAATGAAGAAGATGAAGGAGAAGTACAAGGACCAGGACGAGGAGGACCGGGAACTTATCATGAAGCTGTTGGGGGTGAGCGAGAGGAGTTCTGCCTCTCCCTGTGGCACGGTCCCTTGGGTCTCTGGCTCTGACTATCTCTGTGTGTAACCACAGTCTGCAGGGTCGAACAAGGAGGAGAAAGGGAAAAAAGGGAAAAAGGGGAAGACGAAAGAAGAGCCGGCAAAGAAGCAACAGCAGAAATCCAAGGCTGTGCGTCGTGCTGCTGGAGGGGGCAAGGAGACGTTCCCAGCAGGAGTCCTGCTGCACGAGTCGCAGGACCCAGCCCTGGATGAGCAGCAGGATGAGAAGGTGAGCAGCACACTCACCTCTGCCCTCCTGTCCACACGCCTGTCCCTTCTCACCCTCCACCATGGCTCTCCTGGCACTGCGTAGCTGTGTTCTGCCAGGGAGGCTGAGCAGCTCTTGCTGGTTTTGGGGCACTGTGGAGAACACTGTGCCTAATGCCATGACTCTGGGAGCACGTTGCTTTCAAGAAGCAGCAAAAAAGCCTGCAGCAGTTTCTGTGCACACTGTGTTCCCAGCACAGCCAGAACGAGGGCTCAGAGGAGTACCGAGCCTCACCAGGCTGATGGGGATCCAGTTAAGCCAATAACTCCCACTCGGTGCAGCTGAAACGTAACTGAGCGCTCTGCAGATCTGTTGTTGTGAGTCAGTCAGTATCGCTGAATCGCAGCCCATCTCTCTCCTCCCAGCTTGGCATGTGGCAAGCGAATTAGAGTTTTGAAAGAAACATTCCTCCCCTCACCCACATAAAAGTGCTCTTCTTACCTTTGCTTTAAAATAAGTTAAATTCTGTTTGCAGTTAGAATGTGGCTTTCTGTGTACGGCTGATAAAAAAATTCATTTTCTCCAGGGGCTGGGGGAGAAAAAAGCATTTGTGTGCTGATTTTCAGCTCTCATGTCTCCTTTGTTTGTGTGTACAGGAGGAGCAAGACCAGGATCAGCCGGGAGTTGAGGTAAATGCTCATCTTTGAAGCTCCCGTAAGTAAGTGCTGAGGAGAAGGCTTTATTCCTGCTCGAAGCCGGCGGACCCCCCTGCAGCACGCAGCTCCCTGTGACCCAGAGGCACAGGCGTTCAGCGGGCTGGGTCGTGTGTGAGCCCTCCCCAAGGGTACGGCCCTGCTGTTAGAAGTCCCCTTCTTGCCCGTGACTGTTAGAACTCAGCTTTCTTGTATTTTAAAAAAAAAACCCCAAATGTAACCTCTTTCTTCTTCCTGCCCTGCTTATCACCTACATCCCCTAACTAAGGGCTGGCCACATTGAAGTTTGTCCCTTGCCTGTGCCTCTGGAGGGCTTTGCACCCCCCGGTAACGGTGGCGCTGAGCTGGAGGATGGCACAACACGATGCAGTGCAAGTTGCTCTTTAGTCTACAAGTTTATTTACATATAAAATTGTTTCAAAGTTTTCTATAATTACAAGCTGTGGGTGTTGCCCAAGGCTGGAAATAGGTCGATTTCTTTGAATTCTTTAATGAAGGAGGACAACGGTTGTCTGGAGGGGGAAGCTGTTGGTGAGCCTGGGAAGTTGGAACCATATTTTGGGTTCCCGTTTGGGTCATTCAAAACTAAATCCATCCTGTTTCGAGTGATGTGATTTTAGTCATCAAAGATGGTCAGTAATGAATCATGGCTTTGTAATTTAATGCCAGTGAAGCAAGTGATAAAGCTAAACTCAGTACGTTTCAGTAAGCCCGTCATGAGATCTGACACGGGGTACCTGCGGGATTGCAGCAGTCGGTGCAGTTCAGCTGGAAGGGGAGAGGCCCTTCAGCCTCTGCCTCCAGGGAGGCCGCTCGGCAGGGGTTGGAGAGCCGCTGCCTGGTTTCACAGCAGAGCTCCTTTGCCCCTTCAGGAAGGCGAGGCGTTGCTGGACTCCCTGACGGGCCAGCCGCACCCCGAGGATATTCTGCTCTTCGCCGTTCCCATCTGTGCTCCCTACACAGCGATGACAAACTATAAGTAAGTCGTGGCACATTCAGTGGGAAGGGTTTGGCGGCAGCCTGCGCTGGCCGAGGGGAGCCTGCGTCCTTCTTACGGAAACCTTCTCTTTTTGCAAGGTATAAAGTCAAGCTCACTCCAGGCACCCAAAAGAAGGGAAAAGGTACTGTGTTAAAGCACCGGAATCCTTTTCAGTGCTCTACCTGTTGCAGCCAGCACGTTTTTACATACTGTTTACATCTTTCCTGTTGGTTTTCTTTTCCACAGCTGCAAAGATTGCCTTGCATAATTTTATGCAATCCAAAGAAGCGAGTGCAAGAGAAAAAGACCTGTTCCGCAGTGTAAAGGTAACTAGTTTTTCTATGTAATTTCTTTTGTACAAACACAACAGCAGTAGCAAAATGTCCACTACTGCCATTCTGGGGGTAAATACTTCCAAAAACAAGTGTGCTATTGCCTTTTTTTTTTTTTTTTTTTTTTTTAGTCAGTGTTGTGTTTCTCAGTAGTGCTGGGGGAGATGCACTGCTTAGGCTGGGAAGAATCATTAGAAATGGAGCCTCACCTATAGCATTGGGCCTTAGCTTTCTGCATGGTGCTGCTCTTGATCTAAAGTAACATATCAGGCAAAAACATTGTCTTCCAAAAAGTTGTCTGGTCTGGGGAGAGGAAATTCCCACTCCCGCAGGCGATGTCCTGCTGTGCCGCTCATGATGGGCTCCCGCCTGCCCCTCTCTCCCGGCGAGGTGCTCACCACGGGCCGGGTAGAAGTGTCGTCTCTCTGCTCAGGCAGGACTCAGCCCACTCCATGCAGTTTTCTTCTACTTTTCTTGCCATTTCCTCCTCAAATTGGCCCCATCAGTCTGTGCACTCCACCGGGGAGAGGGCTGGTTCCTTGCGGCGCTGGTGGCTCGGTCAGCTGTTAGCACCACAGTCCCCTCTCTCCTCCTGCATCGCCTGGATGTCCTCAGGTGTTTATTTCTCATGTCACGTCAGTGGTCCCCGTTTATCAGGCAGCCCACACTGCTCGGACGGCGGCTTGCTGGCCTGTGACAGTCCCCTCATCAGAAACGCTGAGTAGCAGCAGACACTGCTACAAAAACACAATTAATGGTTAATGACCTTGAGGCAAACAGGTAGCGCCCAGGGAATTGCTGGCCCGTCCGAATGGACCTGATGTGTGGAAGCTGCACAGAAAAACCATTAAGTCTTTCATTAATAAAACATGGCGCGAGAGCCTGCCATCGGCCTTATTCTCTTTGGGGAAAAGCTGGCAGGAACAGGCACATCAGCTCTGGCCAGCGGGCGCGGAAGCAGTAGTGGAAGTGAGGAAGAGGTTTGTAAATTCCCTTCTGCTGTGTTCAATTTCTCATCTTTCGTTTTGTAGGATACAGACTTGTCAAGAAATATTCCTGGTAAAGTGAAAGTGTCTGCACCGCATCTCCTGAACAGGAAAAAGAAGTGATTCCGTACTGGGGTTTCTCACTACCAAACTGCCGCTGCTGCGCAGTCAGAATCCAGCACCTGTGGCCGAGGCGGATGGACAAACCGACCGACCGACCCCACCTGCCGTTAATTTGACTGAATTTAGCTTCCGTGGTAGCTGGCAGACAACAACCAGTTCCTGCATCACGGTTTAGATGGACTGATGGACTCTAACAACTCGATATAAATAGCATAAAACCATGCAAAAGTAAATTGCTGGCGTTTGGGCAGTGCTGCCATCTCTCGCTGTTCGTTCTCTAACGCTTTCAATGCCAGAGCCGAGCGCTCCTTCCCCACGCTGCTGGGCGAGGGCCTGCCCCAGTCTGCTGCAGCAAAACGCTTGTCGTGTTGTTTTCTTCCCAATACCCACCGCTTTCCTCTGAACGGGACTGGAGATTCTAGCAGGAGAGTTTCAGTGCAAAATACTTAATTTGAGAAAAGGTAGAATTTTACTTTTTCCCCAAATATGCCATGGGCTGCCGGGAGAGGGCCGGTGCAGTCCCAGCTCCGGCCCTCCATAGCACCCACTCCCAGCAGCACAGCCAAACTGTGCCGCGTAATTATTACCCCTGGGGGGGTGAGGAAGGGGCAGGGAGCAGCTGGGGGGGTCAGAGTAAACCCCCGTGTGCTGTATCAGCACAGCCCAGAGATGTGAAACCACAGCTCTGCTCTGACGCTCTGCGCCACCCCGAGCACTTGCTCAAGCTGTAGCTAAAGCTTGCATAGGAATTACAATACAGGAATTATTTTGTTCTAGAAGTCAAAGTTTTTAATTTTATTCTAAGGACAGCTTAAACATGAGTTCACCCCTTCCCCACAGCAGCACAGCCTTTTCCTTGTCCCCGATGTCACCTGCTGGGGCTGCTGACTGATGGAGCCGAGTCAGCGAAGGCAGGCACTGACACATCCCGCTGCCACTCTGATGTGCCACCGCCACGCTGAAGTCCTTCAGGCTGTTCCAGCTGCAGGCGAGCTCCGCAGGTTACCGACACGGCTGATAACAGGCTCAAGCACTTTCAGTTACACTTCTCAGGGCAGAATATCTGCTACCTAAGGTTCACAATTGAAGTTTCACAACATAAAGAGTTCCAAAAAAACAAACTACAAACAAGCAGAGAGTAGTGGTGCTTAAACATCCCACAGTTTACGACAACGGACAATTTCTAAATCCCGTTTCGCTGACCTCAAGCATTTGTGGCAAAAATGTTAAGCAGTTTCCTAACGCTGCAGACTAAAACAGGACTGCTCACCCGTCACAGCAATCCTCAGCCCAGTCCAGCACAACGCTCCCCTTTAACAGTCAGGGTCCACCACAGCGTTTCCTGCACAACCAGGACGCTCCTCAGGGTCTTGACTGGGGACTCCACAACAAGTATTTCCACACGTGCCCACCCCATCTGCTCGCGTGGGGCTGGCCCTCACACGTACATCAAGGTGGACAAACCCAGAACTAGTTTAGCTTAAGCAGAGGATACATCTCCACTTGCATTAAATACATTTATTGCAAACATCTTTTTACACAAAAATAGGTTCTCTCTAGGCCATTCACATGCAACTGAAAGGCAAGAAGCAACTACCTACAACGATACAGCTATTTAACCTATACAAGTTTAACGGCTGCCACGCTTGGTAAGATCATGACATCTTAGAATCGCTCATCCATGCACAGAGGCTGCAGAGGGCTCAGGAGCCCGAGGTGTTGTTGCTTCCAAACCGTTGATTGACGCTGTGCAGCAAGTGCTTGGGGAGGCAGTTCCAGGAACTCGCCAGCATCTCCTTAAAGCAAATGACCGCTTCGAGGCAGAGCCTTGGGGAGAGGGAAACACGGCCGGCGTTAGCCCGGGGTTGAACGAGGGCTGCAAGGTAAGCTCATTCTTTACAGCTATTTAGCGAGGGCTCGTTCTCATTGTCAGTGCCAAATGTTTCTGACAGGAATCTGGATCTATCCTCTCAAAATCGGCTGCTGTTTTTTCAGCAGTCTTTAGGGGAAGAGATGGTTTCAAGTATTTGAAACACCTAAGACTACTTGTGGTAGATGGAGACACGACAGTTTAATGTCACGGTCTTGCTTTCTTACCTTACAAGAGATCTTGGTTGTAGAGAAAACACAAGTATTTCATTACTGTGAGCCTGGGGGTGGGGAGGGAGAGAGAAAGAAGCAATTCAGTTATGTGGATTCACCTTATTACAGCAGGAGCCAAACCAGCCAAGGCTCACACAAACGGCGCCTGGAAAGGTGGGCAAACTGCTCTGAGGACTGGAGAGGCTGATGGTGGGGAGTAGAGTGGCCTTCACGTAAATCACAAAGGCAGCAGACAAACTGAATGTAGAATTGCTCACCAAATCCTACAAGGTGGGAAGTTACGGGCACTGGGGGAACTACTATTCATCCAGCTGGAGGGGAACGGGCGCACAAAGCAGGCAGGCTCCCACGCCGTCCCGTCCCTCTGCGGCATCTCCCGTTGCTGCCAGAGGGGGGACGGGGCTGGCTGGGATCTGCGCTGAGGGACTTTGGACTGGATCAGGCTCAGCAGTCAATGTTTTTTGGTTTGTGGTTTTTTGGTTTTTTTTTTTAAATGGTTATGCCTGCTCCCTGAATGCACATAAACATCACCTGCCAGAGCTGAGCTGCCGGTGTGTTAAGAAGTGTTACACCACTCTTGTTTGCCACTTGCCCGTTCCAGCTGACGCCCACTGGTTCTTACACTAGCAGGTGCTTGTTCCCGCTCTCCCTTTCCAACCAACTGGTGTTTTTACCCCCGTCCTGGCTGAAGAGCCCCTCTTTGCTCGGCCCGTTCTCACCAGGACTCCCTGCGGGCAGCGCAGTGAAGAAATTACTTTGGGAGGGGCTCCCTGAAAACAGCCCCGTGAGCTTTGCCCCAGGGCAAAGCTAAAGCAATAGTTGGGAGATAAGAACAGGCTCCAAGTAAAAACAGTAAGTCAGTTTGTTTAAATAATGAATAATGACCTGTTTTCCAGAAAAGCAGCAAAATATTTTCCCTTCAAGCTTTGTTTATGCACCTTTGTCAGTCCTCACGAGATCACGCTGACAACTACAAGCATTTCACACCCTCTGGAGCCGTGAGGCACCGCGGCCCCTGCAGGAAGGGCTGGGCTGCACAGGAAGGGAAAGCTCGAAATAAACTTACGGCTTTGGAATGGGCAAGTAAGTTGTTGGCACAGCCCCCAAAGACGATCACCTCTCCCTCTTCGCTTGCACAAGCGGTATGCCACAACCTAGGAACAGAAGTTGCCCTGCATTAAACCAAAAAAACACCCCACCCAGTAACACGTTTGGGATTTGTATTTAAAAGTTAACGCATGCAAGTTTGCCCTTCCACCCGTACGCTGTAGACGTGACTAATTCATCGGGAGTTTACGTTCAGAGAAGGAAAAGTGGTCAGCGAAGGATGGGCTGTGTACGGTGCCCTGGTCAGAGCGGGGCTGCGGGGCCGTGTCTGAAAGCCACAGGCCTGTCGCTCCCGGCGGATGGCTGTCACGATCCGCTCGCACAAACTTTAGTTTCATGTCCCGCTTGAGTCAAAAGACTGAACGAACACGGTCAGTCAGATCTGGTATTGCTCTCCTCAGACTTGGGGAAACGACGGATCTCAGGCGTGCGTTCAGCAACAACACAGCACTGTCCTGCTGCTCCACAGGGGGGAAAGCGGGGTGGGTAGGGGGGCGGCAGCTCGGCCTGGTTACTGCCCCAGGAAAACAGAGCCCTCTTCATCCCCACCTGCGGCAAGAGCGAGGCCAGAGGGCAGGCCAGGAAGCATCACCGCTTTAACTCATTTAACCTTGGATCAGAACACTTCCCCAAACAAGATGGATCACAGCAACTCACATGACACGAGTGTTTTCGATACTATATAGATGCATCACAGAAGTTTTGATGCTTTTAAATTACAGGTCACCAACTCTAATTTACTCAGCAGGAAGACAAAAATATGCAGGGTGTGCACAGGATTAGCCACCAGCGAGGACGCTCAAAACGGTGACACCTGCTTGCGTACAGTTTGCCGGCAGAGCAGGAACGCGCAGGTTGCAGTTAGCTCTCATGCTGGCACGTGCAGATCAGAGACCTCTGCAGCCAGGAGATCCAACCCAAAATCCCCGTCTCTCCTGCTGTTTCACGAGCACTGAGCTATACGCTACCTCCAGCCCTACAGTGGTATTCGATACGCCGGCATTTCTGGGGTGGAAGCTAGCAGTAGTATTGCGTTGTTAGGAAAAACGAGTGCTGGAAAGAGGAGCACGTGTCCTCTCTCTGACTGCCAACATGAAAAGCTCCCTCACTCTTTTTTTCTAGGTTTCCAGGAAAGCCTCTACCATACCTTGGTTTTTCAGAATAGTTATGCTCAAACTGTATCCACTCATTCTTGCTGATACAATAAATCCAAGCGTCACCTGAAAACAAGCAAAACCCCAAATACAAACAGTATTCTGTTAGTTCTTTCACATTTGCTGCACTACACGTACTCTGGGGTAACACAGTCCATTTTTGTTCTTAAATAAATCAAATTTTTTAGGAAAAACCTCTATGAAACTTTGGACTGCTTATTTGAAAAACAGGCGTTTAATAATGGTTTATGAGAGCGAAGTCAGAAGGGAAAGATGGAGAACTGTAAAGCTCTTACTAACTGCAATTTGCATGAGATACATTTTTAGAGCAGATTAATTCCTATAAATAATAGCGTCTCAGCGCACTCAGTGACTCCTGCTCTGTGAAATGAGCTGTTGACTGTAAGAAGTTGGATCACAAGTGCACAGAAGGAATTTAGAAAGAATTTGAGGTGACTAGGCAATAATTCAAGGTTCTGTGCACAACTGTTTAAGAACACAAAGACAACACAAACCCTTTTGGGAACGACTTACTTAATGGCTGCTTGTCAGTGGTGAATCCTCCGAAGAGAAAGAGGTGATCCGAGGAAATGGGTGTTAAAGAATGCCACGATCGGCCAACTGGGCAAATGCCTTGCGTGATTCTGTATTTCAATAAAAGCACCACAAATTACACATGCGCTACAATAAAATAGTGCTGCGCTTTTCTGCTCCAATTATTTTTCAAATATTTGAAGGATGCCGCTGCACATAGCTCATGACCCAACGAAAAGTTTAATTTCTTTAGACACAGTAAAAGAATTTTACTCGTACCAATACTTGAAAAAGCCTGACAGCAAGAGTCAGCAACTGCTCAGGAGGATGTTCTACTTGAGTTTAGTTACTCGCTGGAGTTTACCAAGTTTCACTAGAACGATTAGAAGTGAATAAAAATCTACATATTGCTTTACAAACAAAAACCCTCAAGTTTTGGTACCTACATTTCATTCCATTCCCACGTATCCAAATTCAGATAGTAAAGATCGTTCATTCTGGACTCCTACAATAAAGCAGACCACGGTTGAAATACTCCGTTTGGGTTTCAGTACCACATCGTTAAACTGGGCTGGGGCTTACTCTGTATCTGCCACCAAACACGTAGCCTCTGTTCCCAACCGTAGCACAGGCGTGAGCTGCTCGTGGTGATGGAGTTTTACCCTGGGAACAGAAAATGTGAAATAAGAAGGTACGTTTACTTGATACACGAACAAAAGAAAGACAATGCCACTTCACCAGAAACCTGCAGTGGACCGAGTGAAGAGGAGCTGGGCTGAAGATGCCCATCGCGCACATGAAGCGGCGCGGCTACGGCCACGCCAGGCAGGCCAGGAGGCGCGGGGCGACAGCAGCACGGTGGGGCAGGGGCTGCACTCCTCTCAGGCCTCCCGGGAGAGCTCACCTGGACATCGCGCGCAAGGCACAGCAAAGTCTCACACGTCAGTCACCCCAGGAGATGAAAGGCTGAACTGAAGTCAGATTTAAGGCCAACAAGGAACAGAGAGGAAGTCATTCTGTGTGCAGAAACTTGCTTTTTTTGATGGATGGAAGATCAGAAAACTCATTAAAAACGGGGTATTTTGTTTTCCCCTCTTTAAGTGTCAAGGTATAAATTTTGCTTTTAGAAGAGGGTTCGGACAGTCACAGACCTCAGACTGTAAATGAGACAGTGACATAATAAATCATTAAGCAGTATTTTTCTCCAGTTATTTCTGAAATATTTGAGATATCCATGAGACAAAGCAATTCTTTGGTCATCTAAATAAGGAGTTACTCATCTGAAAGTTCATTTCCTCCAATTCTGTGGCGGTATCGCTCCATTTCCCTGTTCCCAAATACTTCTGGGACACTTCAAATGGTGTATATTTGGAATTACAGAGCGTTTCATTTTGTTTTGACCACAATCAGCACCCAAGTGAAAGGTACCAAACCATCACGCTACAGTGAGGATGACAGGAAACCACACACTGCGTTTTCCTGAGCTCCCCTTGAGCACAGTGCCACTGAAGCATGAAAGGAAGCAAGTCAACAGGAAAAAAAAAAAGATAAAAAAAAAAGATGAAGAGAGAAAGACAGATCAAAATAAAAGGCAAGTTTTCCGGTTCTGGAGAGGAGAGAGGACCTAGGTAAATGAATGGTTTAAATTCAGTTTAAATGGCCTCAAGAATGTTACTGAAGAGGCATCAGGTAGTTTTTATTTTGAGGGGATGTTTCCAAAGCTAGTTCTACCAACGGCGTTCCAAACCTCTCTGACAGTCCTTCCCCTACAAGCGTGTTGTAGGTAAGACTGCAGACACACAAGCTAATGACACCTCACGGAGTAGATAGGACAGAAACTCAGAGTCCCACTTTGCTGGCAAGAGAGCGAGGTAGAGGGAATTAGGACAGCTCGAGAAGGGAAGAGAGCCCCGGTCACAGAGTCCCAAGCTTTAGCTCCCGGTTGGGTTTCCTCCCCTGGCTGGGACAGACCCACCACATCCCAGGAGGGAAGCCAGGACAGCAGAAACCAGCAGTGCTGCAGACGCGGTGCTTCCCACCGGCCACAGCCAGAGCGAGCGGCCTGTGATTTATCCCGTGGAGACCACACACTTAGCAAGCACCACTGAGACAACATCAGCTCCACGAGGTCTGTTTGGGGAATCCCAGTCTCACGACCCTGCAGGGCATTTCTGACGTCCTCCTGCTCGCTAGCACTAGGTATTTCGGAGAGCTCTTCCATCTTTTCTAACTCCTGGCATTTAGGGATTGGTTTATATCCCGAAGAAGGCAGGATCACAGAGCACCTGACAACTAACCATGCGGCAGTGAAAGACTGATGACATGTAAACAAGGCTGCAGGGTGGAGCAGGAAAGCAGAAAAACGTATTTTGGGTGAATTTGCATGCTTCTTGCTTGCAAACAGTTAACCACATCTTCTAAAATAATGCCAGGGAGATACAGATTATAGATAGGACCCCTCCATGAGATACAACAGGTTAAGACAGCTTCGCCCTGCAAGTTGCCCCAGCACACAGCCCGGCACTCCGAACACCCGCGGCCCAAAGCCACTGCTGCTGGGACAGGACACCGCTAACCCCGCACAGCTACGCAGGGAGGCCGTTGTATCAGCACCCCCTTCTAACTTGACATAAATTAAGGTAGCGATCCCAGGCCTCGCAGAGTCAGGCTCGTTTTCACAGCATGCTACAGGAGGTATGGCACACAGTGAGCGTATTTCTTAAGAGCTGTAACTTAATTAACTGACGTAACACTAATAATTACCGTAGTTATAGGCTGGCTCCAAGTAAAGGTTTCAGTGTCCAGAATATGCACGTGGTCGTTCCACCCTCTAGGAAGACCTGAATTCTTTAAAGATATTAAATATGCAACAAGTTTTAATAAGCACTAATTAAATATCAAAGTTTAAATAGAAATTACTTCCAGGTTTACTTACCCAAAAAGAGGTTTCATCAAATTCAAAAGTTCCCCGTTGTTTCCCTTCAGGAAAATAACCATAGCCTCCAAAAAATATCAGCCTGAAACAAAACACGCATGAAGATCTATCAGAAATGCTATCACATCTGTTGCTACAAATTAAAGTTCTGTAAAGGCTGCGCTCAAACAGAAGACAGGAAAACCAGGGAAGCTCCTTTGGCTTCATGACTTCCAATATGTCTACAACGCAAGTTTTCCAGGTGTGGGGCCCTGTTTCTTGCCTAATCGACCCTACCACCCACATTAAATCCCTCTGTAGCTGTTTCCCAGGCCTCAGGCTTCCCAGCTTTGCTCCGGTTCCAAATGCATGAGGCTCCCAGGGCTGCTGCCTGGTCGCTGCGCTTCAGCCTTTGCTACCGGGGCTCCCGCACAGCAGCTACAGGCGTTTAGTCCTGCAGTTTCCCAACTCCGCCCTTTCCAAGCCCTCTGCCTGTCTTCCCTGAGCCCGAAATGTTCACAGACACTCCTGTGAGAAGCAAAGGGAAAGGATTACAACCCGGGCACGGTCGCTGTGGAGATGTGTGCTGGGCAGGGCAGGGCAGGGGGAGACCAAGGGATGCTACATGCAGCAGACCCTCTACCAACGAAGCGGATTGGGAAGTTTTTAGTCTTTTTGGTGGGGAAGAGGACATTTTCCCTTGTACTTGCTGTATTTTATTTCAAAGCCTGAAGAACAGTTATTATCTCATCTGGTTTTATTGTTCTTTTTGGTTTTAAAGATGTAATTTACCTTTAAGTTTTATGTTTGGGTTTTAGCACATATTAGAAACTAACGGCATGGTTTTGCCAGAAATTCTTATTGAATTATGAGGTAACAGAAAACAACCTACATCACCTAACTAAACACCCACAACTCCAGTCTTGCACAGATTTACATCTAAACTGATCACATCAAGTGTCATAACAATAAGCTTTCTCTCCACATCAAGAGTCTGAAAACTATCACCATGGGCAATTTACTATCTTTCAGGAGCCTCTGCAGCAAATCCCACAGCAAATATCGTAACAGTGAGCTTTCTCTCCATGAAATGGACAAAGCAGCACAGCCATCTGCAGTATTATACACCAAAATCACCACACGTGGCCCAAACACAAGGACATATGGCATCCCTGATTTCCTCTGCCTCACTAGGGCCGCAGACGATACAGTCAAGACCAGCTGTGCTAACAGGCAGAAGATGCCTGTGCTGTCCAGGTAAGGTTTTGTAGGGAACAGCTTAAACCCCTATCCTGTCGTAAGAAGACAGTAAGAACCCGTAACTCTTGCCAGTTGAGACCAAGGAAGACCTAGAGGCCCCTGACCGTCACCTCATATTCGCATCAGACCTCCTCAGCCCTTGGCACCATGTACGCTGGCAGTGCTGCCCACGCCGGCGGCTGGCCCACAGCCTGCGGAGAGCACCCTGCTCTGCGGGGATCTGCCCTTCCAGCTTCTCCTGCACGAGGACAACCCTGGCCACGTTCAGCTGTCACCTGTGCCAGAGCATTTTGGAGTCCTGCTCTCTGGAAGCCAGGAATCCTCTGAGAAACCAATCCTGGGTAGATGCTCCAAGAAGAGAGCCAAAAGTCCCTGCCCTCCCCTGAGAGAATTCACTTCCACCCCCAACCTCCCGAGCAGCTGGGATACAGCAAGCTCGGGGAAGCGGGAAACTACCTACCTACCTACAAGAGGGGCTTTCCTCAGTCTGTTCTCCAGTGCCAGAAGGCTGGAACGATCTCATCACAAAGCTCCCTGCTCTACCCGAACAGAACCGGGGAGGAAGGTGCAAGGCAACAGCAATGTTTGGCACATCAGCTCATGTGGCTTCAACACCTTCTCCTTGTCTTCCTCATCTTTTCCAAGGTTTGCAGTGCCAAAAGGCCTAATGACACCCCTGGGACACTATCCCAACTCATGAAATCAGATAACATCAACAGCAGATCATCTAACACACTCCTTGTTTTGTGCAACCAGCCCGTGCACATGCATGGCTGAAAAAGCCACATGCAATTTTAAGATTAAAACGGCTTCCTGCTCTTCAACTATCAAAGAAATGCAAGCTGTCCCACAAGACATGACCAAAAGATTGCATTTTGCGTGACACCAGGATTCCAGGATTCACAGAATCACAGAATTTTCAGAGTTGGAAGGGACCTCTAGAGATCATCCAGTCCCACTCCCCTGCTGAAGCAGGACTGCCCAGAGCACATCACTCAGGACTGCATCCAGGCGGGTTTTGAACATCTCCGGAGAAGGGGACTCCCCCCCCTCCCTGGGCAGCCTGTGCCACTGCTCTGTCACCCCAACTGTAAAGAAGTTTTTCCGTGTGTTGGAACGGAACTTCCTCTGTTCCAACTTGCACCCATTGCCCCTCGTCCTGTTACTGGGAACCACCGAGAAGAGTCTGGCTCCATCCTCCTTCAACCCACCCTTTAGATACTTGTAAGCAATAATAAGGTCTCCCCTCAGCCTTCTCTGCTCCAGGCTAAAGAGTCCCAGCGCTCTCAGCCTTTCCTCGTAAGGGAGATGCTCCAATCCCTCAATCATCTTGGTTGCCCTATTCTTCACAGGATTGTTCTGTGAAGAATAATTCCCTATGCAACTGCCAGGAGGAATGACGCTGATACAAGTAACCACCATGTGGTGTCTTTAAAGAGATCAACTGAGAACGCACTGTGGAAGATGGGCCTGTCATGAGCCTACACTTTGGACCGTGTCTCACAGATACTTTGCAGCTTACATATACCCAAATTGTGAGTGAGGCTTTTCCGCTTATCAACGGTTAAAGGACGGAGCAGTTTTAAAAGGCTGGCTGGGGAACACATCTTCCTGAAGCACGTATGTGCTGCAGGCAAGAAGTCCTTCTGCAGCTCTTGTTCAAACAAAAAAACACAACAATGACAAGACTAAGAGTGATTAAAAGCAAACACACGCGCAAGGATAGCTGTGCTGACTTCGTTGCTGGAGCCTTACTTGTTTTTGTAAACCCAAACGCCAAGTTTGTCCTTTGATGAAGGGGGTACCCCCTGACACTCTACTCTGACCCACTGCAGCACTTTGTCCGTGGATCTGGAATTTAACATGTAGAACTGTAGAAAATAAAAAGATTTTTTTTACCCACACAGTTAGCTTAAAGCTTAAGTCTGACTGATGTTAAAATATTAACTTTTAATTAGCATGTACTGGTACAGAAATACTTTAAAAGTTCTTTCCCTAGCTGCACAGAGCACTGAGAATGTTTGGAACAAAATATGCATCCAAAGATCCTTATCTTGTTGCAGACTCAAGCCCCGAATACTTTTTTTACAAAAGTAACAGGACTATGGGCATTGACTTTTACCGTCCAAAAGCTGAAATGGGATACAACAAAGGTGTGTACAAAGTAGCAATTGTCTTAAAAAAAATTCTGGTTTAAAAAAAAAAAAGTGGTTTTTATGGTATCATCCCTTCTCTGCGTGTTACATCATTTTACTTGGAGAGGATAGGTGACACACATACCTAAACTAACTGAAACGTAAGAATACCACAGCAGGAAGGAAGCAAGTCACACTTTATAAATGTAGTTTGTTTCAGACTGTTCGAAGCGTTGCATCAAGCTACTTTCAGTTTATATTAAGAGTGAGGCCAAAAAAACTATTTAATTTGACCACACTTCCAGCAAATCAGAAAATATTATCAGAGACTCCAGAGAAGAATAACATTTCAAACAACTACAGAGCAGTTACTAATCACCTCCTGATATTACTTTGGTTAATCCTGGAAATTCCATCTTTCAGAAGGGGCAAACTCAAAAGCACCAACGCAATACAATTTATAGGGTGAATTTCTCAAGAACAACTGTGATCAAAACAAGTAATAGGTCATGGTGTTTCTTCAGAGGTGTAAAGCCACCGGAGTACAATCATTTTGTGAAACAATGCAGCGCTGAAGGCTGACCCGTTTTGCAAACGTCACGTTATCTGACCTGTTGCAGAGAAATTAATATAACATTGAACTGGTAAAAGTCAGCCAGCTAATCACCTGCATGGAAAAAAGATCCAAGCGGTAAGCACCATATTTTGTTAGTCAAAACCTCTCAGGCAAGCACAAAAAGAACACGGCTTCAATTAGTTCCCGTCTGGGGAAGCTGCTGTCAGGATGAGAAAGCTGGTGATCTGCTTCCAAGAACTAGAGATCCAGCCAGCAGATGGAAACATGTGCTGCAGAAGCCGTGGAGGTCACAGTGACTGGATAGACATTCAGCATCCCCCGTTATTAACATTTAAGCTCTGAAACAAGATCCAACCTGTCCAGTCATTCAGAAGAAAATGTTTCCGTGATTTGTTAAGATTATACATTTTTTGCTTTGGATGGATTTTAACTAACTGAAAAGGCCACCTCTCGTTTATAAAAAATGGGAACAAAAGCTAATGAGGAGACACTTATTTGCAAGAAGGGGTTTACCTTTAAATTACTAACCTTGTTTGTATTGCCACGTGCATGGTGTCCCCCAAAGAGGTACACCACTCTGTCTACACACACGGCACAGCTTCCAGACATGGAAGGTGGAACATCTCCCTCTGTTTTACTCTTCTTCCTAGAAGCACGGTTTAAAATATTTTATCTGCTAAAAATGAACAATACTGATTTTAACTGGAGAGGAATGTTATAGCACTACCAGTATGTTTTTAATTACGATAGGTCACTGGGGACCATTCAGTTATGAGTTCTTCACACCCTTGCAGGTTTGACAATTTACAACACTAACCTGGTATGACGGAGCGGGGTGGGACAAAGGCAATTTCATTAATACATGTTTTGTGGGGGAGGAATCCTGTCTGCCCAGTCCAGAAGTTTGGTATGCTTTTCACATTCAAAATCCCCAGAAAGATCCTCAGGCAAAGAGGATGCACCTGTCTAAACTGAAGGTTTGTAGTTTGCTACTGGATTTTAAATGTTTGTAAACATTATAACCACAAAGATGAGCTTCCAGCCCATGTCCCTGGCTCTCCCTAACCACAATGACCACTGGAAGCACTGCTGAAATTGCACTTTCTACAAAGCGCTGAGGGGACCTGGCTCTGCAGCGCAAGGCCCAAGCTGGCTACAGACCTGGAGCGCTGGATTCCCCTCTCTCACACTACCAGGCATCCCAGTTTCACACAACATCGAGGCTCCCAGTGGTCTAAGACGACACAGTAATTATTTTGGCCGTATCAACATTTAAAAACTTCTCAAAAGGATAATAAATAAAAAACTCAGCGTGGGTTCCCTCACCAATGCACCACTGCAATCAAAAGTGGTACAAATACAATCTTCAGATGGTGTATTCTATACCAGGCATCCCAAAACACTTCACACCGTTGATCACATACTCCTGTACGGGCTGCCTTGCCTACTTCACCTGGTGAAAATTTATTTGGTGTTTTGACATTAAAAAAAAACCCAACCCAACATTCTGGAAATAGTTTACACATTTATGTTTAGATAGATGGGAACAAAAAGATCAGAGAATTCTCTCTCTGTTCACAGACCCTGAGCATGCTTTCTATACCAGTTTAAGAATGTATCTTTTTTTTTTTTCACCTAAAACAACAATTAAGTGAATTATTTACTGTACCATCTTCCAGTTTCCATGTTGTAGATCCATATTTCATCTCTAGGCAGATAGAAGTCATAAAATCCGCGAACTTGGGCATTCTGCAGAACAGATCAGAAAAGAAAAAGCAACATCAGAAGGACACTTGACATATTGAACTCGTTGTGAATGTTTACACCCCCTCAGAGATCAAATTGCAGAACCGAAAACAGCAGGAGCAGTGCCTGCCACACTCCTGTGCCTCTCTCCAGCACAGCACCCCCCCGGAGAGCAGGTATTAACCTATTGTTGCTTCTGCTGGGGACCAGACAAGCTCCCAGCAGAGCCAGAGACTGGGGTAAATGGAAATTAAACCTCCTTTTATCCAATCAGGATAAGTAGGGTGCATAAATAAGCCAAATTTTCCTTTTTAATTCCCCACCCTCTGCATGATACAACCAGAACAATACACCAAAGCTTTGTCTTGAGCTACCAACTTATTTACCGAGTTCATTGACAATTCATCTTCATTCCTGTCAAAATTGTAAAATGACTCGGTTTTGCTTGCAGTACACACACAACCCAGCGTGACAAATAACCAACCTGTGATCACTAACATGCAATATATAGTTGTGCTGATAATGCCGTAAATAAAAGCACCATTTTGCACACTATGCATTTCAAATCAGACAGTTTCCTTCTCTTCCAACAGACACGTGAGCCGACAAAGGCAAATGACACCCTGCATCCCACAAAAGTTATCTGTTTGCCAAGATCTGCGTTTAACACTCACAATTTATTTCAATATTTCAAAACTCTTAAATGTCATATTTTAATTTGTTAACTGGAGCTTTTCTTTTTTGGAGGAGGGATAATTTTACGGAGTAACACCCAAACTAATGGAACATAATTACCAGCATCATGGGTGGCAGAAGACTTACTTAATAAGGAGAGCAGCGTACCTTATAGCCTCCCCAGACATACATGCAGCGTCCATCAGTGACTGCCACGTGCCCGCTGCGCTCAGCAGGGCTGTCGTTCTCCAGCTGCTCAAAGCTGTCCTCAGCTGGAGCCGGGAGCTCTTCATCTGCCTGCAGGTCTTCGTTATCATCAGCCATTTCGATATAGTGCTACGTGCACAGAATAACACATAGTATGGAGCTTTGAAAACCATCACGGGAAACCACCAGCGGAAAAACCACAGAAGCTACACACTGCTGTTTCCTTCACGATAACGCTTCCGTGAAGGAAGTTATATACCATCAGTCAAGAAAGTTTCAGATGGGGATTCCTCAGTTATGGGCAATTTGTAATGGTTTCAGCTGCCAATTTAAGTCAAGGTCTCTAACTTTTTTTAAAAAAAAATAATCACACTTATCTATAAATACATGAATTGATGACCAAAAAACCAACCCACAATGGAATAAATTTGAAAGCTTTGCCTCCTATATGGTTTTCACAAAAGTGAAAACTCCTACAGCTTTTCAGGCAAAGTCCCTTTGGGCCGCCTAAGCCAAGTCTCCCACACACAAACTGCTGCCTCCAGCTCTGGGGCCCCCAACATCAGAAGGACATGGACCTGTTAGAGCAAGTCCAGAGGAGGCCACAAAGATGCTCCGAGGACTGGAGCCCCTCTGCTGTGAGGAGAGGCTGAGAGAGTTGGGGGTGTTCAGCCTGGAGAAGAGAAGGCTCCGGGGAGACCTTAGAGCCCCTTCCAGTGCCTAAAGGGGCTCCAGGAGAGCTGGGGAGGGACTCTTGATCAGAGAGGGGAGCAATATACAAGGGGGAATGGTTTCAAACTGAAAGAGGGGAGATTTAGATGAGATATTAGGAAGAATTTTTTTACTTTGAGGGTGGTGAGCCCCTGGCGCAGGTTGCCCCGAGAAGCTGTGGCTGCCTCATCCCTGGAGGTGTTCAAGGCCAGGTTGGACAGGGCTTGGAGCAACCTGGGCTGGGGGGAGGTGTCCCTGCCCATGGCAGGGGGGGTGGAACTAGACGATCTTTAAGGTCCCTTCCAACCTAAACCATTCTATAATTCTGTGAAACCGTCCCATAGCTGTTAAATGCTGGACACGTTACCTATGCTAAAAAAAAAACAACCACAAAACAAAGCCCCCTTGCCCCAAATCATGCTGACATGCAGAAGGCCAAAACCTAGAGTGTCCTGGAAAGACAAACAGCTATGTGCACCCAGCCCATGGCTCCCAAGCACTCTGCAGCTTGGGGGTAAGAGCAGCCTCCACACCAGGGCTTTGGTACGCGAGGAGCCCCAGGGCCACGCTGTCACTGGGGTCACTGGTAATTCAAAGCCCCAACCGCAGGAGGAATCAAGCCAGGAGGAGACGATGAAGTCAGCCCTGCCAGGTCATCCTGGAAGCTGCCGGCACGCTCTGCCTCAGCCTGGAATGGAGCAGGGGGACCTCTGAAAAGCCAAAGTCGCCTTCCACTTAGAAGCCATTCCCAAGTCCCCATCTGCTTTAGCTTTCCCACAGCTCTCAGTGAAAACTGTCACCACACAGAGATTTTCAGACACCGACCAAAAGGCCAGGGAAATCGGACAGTCCGAGCAATGGCTTTGTGCAACCAGGCAAAGCCAGAGAAGTGAAAAGGACCTTAGTGAGACCACCAAGCCCTGCACTCGCACCAAATCCTCGACACCTACACTGCTCCTGACAGGTTTTTGTTTAAGTTGAATCACTCCAATGATGGAGACACTGCACCACCCTCAGTAGTTTATTTTTGAACTTTAATTATGCTTTAAATTAGAAAGCCTTACCCACACCTCAACGAATTCAAGTTAACCAGATTTTTACTGATCTCTCCCCCGTGATCAGCATTCTTGAGGGTTTTTTTAAACAAATTAAGACACACTGAACAAATTCTGTCCCCCTTCAGCAATGCTTCAGTCCCGAACCGAAACACTTCTGACAAGTCACTGCAATCCCCAGCTCTTTGTGGCTCTGCCCGGCCTGTCCACATCCCTCACGGCACCCGCGCCGCCCACCCGTGGGCCCCTCCCGCCTTCAGGCGATAGATTTTACCTCTCGGGACTTTTTATACCTCAAGTGAAAGCTTAGACTTACCAGACTAACAGTGTGGTGGAGCTGAGAGATTGTCTCCTGGCTTTTCTGTTTCGCATCTCTAACTTTGTTTAAGGCTTGTTGGTAGGCACGTGTGCGGACCTTTGAAGACAGGGATCCTAGTCTAATGTAGTAGCTTGGCTTTTGAACTCCAACTTCAAAACCTTCAACTTTTGCAGCTTCTTTCTCTAGATATGCAGAAAGGAAGCAAATTGACCACTGGAAGAAAACTTAAGAGGTCTGACGCAGTTTTATTTGCTTAATAACAGCTGAATACTGGACTTGTTTAGTCCTCCTTTAGCACCAGTGTATGTTGATAGACCACCATACATGGAAATCCTTACTTTCACTCTCCTTCCCTGTGAAGGAGATGCTATTACAACCAGCAAGGTGCCCCAACCTCCCCCCCCCCAAAAAAACCCCCCACGTGTGGGACCGGCAGGGTTTTGGGGTGTTGCTTTGTCAAGAGAAAAACACGTTAATCGAGAGGTGACAACTTCCCGGTTCAAAAGAGCCACCAAACATACTAAATGTTTGCTTGAAGTTTAGCACATATTAAAAATGATGGCTCTGCTACAATACCCCGGCACAAAACCTTTCTTCATCACATAATTTCGCTCCAAAAACTCCCTTCCCCACTTGAGTTTTGCAGACTAAAAATGTCAAGAACTAGTCAAAAGTGGTCTCGATTCAACTCTATAAAATTTTAATGACTGTGCTCCTGTTAACTAAATTCTTGAAACCGAAAAATAGCAAGTACTACAGCTGCTCTTTTTAAACAATAAATAAGCAATTTTTTTTTAAACAAGAATTAAATATAAACTTTATACATCCAAAATACAATATACAACCTATTTCAAAAAGGACTCACTGATAACAGAAACCTTGTAAAACTGTGTTACGAACTGCGCGTAAGCTTCCCTAC